AATAAATGATAAGATAACAGCGGCTTTGTATAACATTATTGAAAATAATTTTTCACAAAAGAAAGAAAGACAATAATTCGACGTTTTGATGATCTAAGACATCATTTTCAAGATTTATTAAGATATTTAGAAAAGTTGTACAAAGAAAAAAGAGAGAAACAACATTATTTAAACGATTTTAAGATTATCACTAATGATCCAGGTCAGGTAGCTGAACTTTTGGTAAACCATCAGGAAAGACAAGTAATGGTACCGAGTGTGTTGTTTTGTTAAGTTCAGGTTCATAAGCCTTGATCAGCAGTAATTCTTTAATCAACAGACGATAATAATGATTGTCTTGCCATACTATTTGAAAATTACTCCAGTTCATTCGATGTCCTGTTTCTTTTTCATGTTGATGAATTGATGACTTATCAATCTTCTTATCGTTGTTGGTATTATCTAATAATGTTGTTATTGATGATGATGATGTTGTTGTTGTTGTTGCTATTTTATTTTTATTTTTAATTCGTGATGATCTTCTTAATTCTGATTGTTGGTTCGAAGGGTGTGGGTGTGGATTTGCGTAATAATTCTCTTGTGACACCCATATCCACACCCACACCCAGCAATTCTCGGGGTTCTAGAAATTGGATCAACATAGAATTTCTAGTGATTCCTAGAAATTCCATCTCCATATAATTCCGAGATTTGGTGTAACTCGATTGATCGAGTTCTCCGACTTCCATAATACTAATTCCGTACTGTTCAACATCACGAAATAGGATGTATTTTCTGATCTCTGCAAATAACTTTTTTTAATTTAGTGGCTAGATTGGTGTATATAAAAAGTAGAAATTACCATATTCCGATGCTGAAAAGTATTCATTAGCTGATACACTCGATGAACCAATTAAGATTCACATAAAAATAAGTTTTCATTTAATTTTCATTGAATTGTTTTTGTTTTATATTTGATTTAGTAATGCAGTTATAATTCAAAATTCAAATCGTTAGTCATCAAAATGATTGATCCACAAAATCAACTTAATCGTTAGATAAAAAAATTCTCATGCTCAACAAAATTTAAAAATTGTTAAATTAACTGATAATGATTTTTATACCTTTATTACAACGAAATTGAAAAATTCACATTATTTACCAGATTTAATTGAGATTTTTCTATTATTAAAAATTTATTTTAATGATTCCTTTGTACAGAAATTTCTAGAAAAGTTACATTACTTAATTTTATGATTACATCTGAAAGTTTTCAAAATCAGTTGTTTGATATTTAAATAGAAATTCTTTTTAAGATAGTAAATCTTATTATATTAATTTTTATGATTTTAGATATTTGTTGTTGCTAAAGAACGATCATAATTCGAAGAAGAACATCAAACATTAGTTATAACTCAAGCTGAAAATCAACATTTGTTAGAAGAAGCTGAAGATAAAAATTTATTTACACTTAATGTATCAGAAAGAAATATTTTAGAAGTTGAAGCTGCTATTGAAACATTTGATTCATCGAAATTAATTTAGGGTGAAATATCAAAGAAAAGTAAAAAATTGCTGAAGTAACAGCATAAAGAAAATCGATGCATCTAGAGAAGATTATAAACCAATTGCAAAATATTCAGCTATTCTATTCTTTTACCTTAGTGATTTACCAAATATTGATCCTAGTAAGAATTTATTTCAATTAGAATCAATCTTATATAATATATATTATAATCAGTATTTGTCACCTAAAAACTTTATCTGCAACTTAGTAGATTAACGTTTAGACTTTTTTTCGCTATACTACACAGTTAATCAATAAAGATTTTCTGTATTGAATACATTCATTTGCAATAGTTCCAATCAAATCTAGGAGTTTACTTTGGCGGACAAATATTTAGACTGAGCAAGTGTCATGATCGAAAACTAGACATTACATTTATAGAATTTTTCGTTATCCGAATTCAATTTTTGCGAAATTTCTTTGAAAGATAAAACAATAAAAAAAAGAAATAAAGGTGATAATATATACATGATCAAATCGATACTGAGATGCTATATTATCAAATTTTTTTACGATTCTTTATCTTTCTTTCTATCCAAGAACGAGAAATCTGCAGAGTTCAAACAACTGACGCAGTCATATATAAATCGAAATCCTTAAATTTTTCTTAAATATGTCGTGCTATAAAAGACTAGTTTATCCATTCTTGTATCAAATAATTCTAAAATAATAAGATTATTCTTTTTACTCTATCGATATTCATTACAATAGTTTATTAATCTACATATTAGTTCAATTAATGACAGATTTTTTATCGTTTTTAAACTCTTTTTCATTGATTATAATTTAAAATTTCAGTCTAAAATCAAAAATTCTTACACGTCGTTTAAAAAATCTTCAAAATTTCAAAGACAAAAAAGAAATGCCAAACTTTTATATTATTTTAGTAGAAGTTTTGAATTAAATCTTGAAGTATTAAAAATCAATATATGATGCAAAAGATCTAATGACTATTGAATTATTTGCACCATGAAATAAAAAAATTAGATTAATTTCAAAAAATGACTGTTGTTCGCATTATACGTTCTGATACAGTTGTATCAATGGTTATTGAATTTGTTGAACCACCAACAAATCTTCAAATGAATAGGTTACATTCATATTGAAATGTACCAATACATGAACCAACATTTTTTAATAAAATTGATGAAGAAAAAATGTTCTATGAAAAAGACTTTTATTTGATCTTTGTTTTTTTTTCATACATTTGTACAAAAAAGAAGAAAATTTGAGTAAGAAAAAAATTTCGTTATTTATTGAAAATTAATTATCAAAATAAAATTTTAGATCACAAGGATTTAATCAATCAGATCTTTTTATTTCTGTTTAACAACTTCAAGTATATTTTTATTATTATAGATGAATAATGTATTATTTTACTTAGGGCATACCAAAAGTAGTGAGGGAGGTATTTTTTTCCCTTAAGCAGAGGTCTAAAAAAATTTCTTTTTATACCAATAGATAGAGCGTGTTTCGCTCTATCTTTCTATGGTATTTGATAAGTCCTCGCCTTTTACCAAGTAAGTGAAATTTCAAGAAAACTTTTTTTTGCGTCCAACTCCCTGGTAGCAAAGGCTTATATTTTCGTCTATACATCGTTTTTTTTTCGTTTTTTTCTGTGTTTTTTCTTTCTTTTTTCATCCTTTTCTTCTTATCATTTCTTATAACCTGCTTCCACGTGTTTTATTGTGTATCAATATCAATGGAAAAAAAAAACAGAAACAAAAAATGAATTCGATGATCATTTCGTTAAATGTTCAAAGTAATCACCATGACTATCTACACACAGCTGCATTCTTTCGATCCATTTCTCGAAGGTTTTTTTGTACTCGTCTGGATTTAAGGAGTTCATGAAATCGATCACAGCATCATGTAATGATTCTGAATCATCTTGATTGCTCAGATTATCTTTGATCAGATCGAATAACCAGAAGTCACAAGGTGACAAATCTGGCGAATTAGGTGGATGTGGTATTATTGTAAGACCTTCAGATTGAAGATAATCGGATACATCTTTATGCACATGTGGTCTACCATTGTCATGATGAATTTTGATACCACGAGTCCCATACAACGGTCTTTGACGTTTGATTTCGTCGATCAGAGGTCGTAAACACTGGTTGATGTAATAATGATGGTCAACGGTTTGATCACGTTCGATGCGATGGATTAACATAGGCCCGGTCGATTTGAAAAAGATCGAAAACAAGGTTTTTGATGCAAACCGACTTACTCGAACAACAGTAGGTGGAGGATCTCCTGTACCTACCCATGCCTTGTTTGATACCTTTCGACCAATCTGTTTGTGACGGAACCAGGATTCATCACCAGTAATTATATCGCACAAACGCCATGTTCCCTGGTGAAACTTCGTTAAATTATGCTTGCATATTCGAACTCGTTCAGCTCGCTGAAGATCGGTGAGATCCTTAGGTATGTAACGTGCGGTTATCTTCCGAAGCTTTAAATGATCAGTGACTATTCGTTGAACAGTTCCGTGACTCAAATCGGTTTGTTCTTGGATACCTTCGATTGTAATGTAAGGATCATCATCGATGAGAAGACGAACCTGTTCGATATTTTCAGTTGTTGTTTCAGAAATAGGTCTACCAGGTCGCGGTTTATCTTCAACTTCCTCTCGACCATCACGAAACAATTTTGACCATCGTTCGATTGTGCTTAGACCAGGAGCTTCATCGCCATAAACAGAATTCAATTCATCATAGATAACTCTTGCTGGAATACGAAGTGCAGTACGCACTTTTATGTAAAAACGAAAGTTTTCAGTAGTCATCTAAAAGGCAAAGAGGAGAGAAGACGGAAAGCAAAAAGAAAATAAACGATGATCCGTGATAATGCAGATAATAACCCAGACGCATTCCTTCTTATTGTGGGCATATTCCGATTGTCGAGATATAGGGTATTTTCCTTTCGTTCTTCGATGCATGGATTTATTCCTTTCGTCACATATGATTATATAAGAAATGATAAGAAGAAAAGGATGAAAAAAGAAAGAAAAAATACAGAAAAAAACGAAAAAAAACGATGTATAGACGAAAATATAAGCCTTTGCTACCAGGGAGTTGGACGCAAAAAAAAGTTTTCTTGAAATTTCACTTACTTGGTAAAAGGCGAGGACTTATCAAATACCATAGAAAGATAGAGCGAAACACGCTCTATCTATTGGTATAAAAAGAAATTTTTTTAGACCTCTGCTTAAGGGAAAAAAATACCTCCCTCACTACTTTTGGTATGCCCTAAGTAAAATCTATTTTAGATGTTTATTAATGAATATACTGAAATTTCATACGTGAATATTTTGTTGATAAAGACAAATATTTTTCTCTATGATGATACGAATTCCTCTTATAGATATCAATACTCTGAAAAGAGTTCAGATCTTTGGCTTGTTGTTACTGAGATACTGTATTTTTTTAATACAATGCCGTGCTCCCCCTCATAGAAACATTAGGAAAACTGATTTTCAAATTTTGACTTGAAACTTTGCATAGAGATAGGCCTTAATAAGAATAGGTTATTATGAAAATTTTAGATTTTTTCTTTGTTTCTATCTTAAGATACGGCTATAGTAAATGTTTGTTTCTTACATCACTCATATACGCATCGATCGATTCGATGTTCTTTAATGATAGGAACAAATCAAAAGGCCTGATAATTTCACGATAAACTATTCTCATTAAGATCTGTCTATGTGGCAAATTTTAAGGCGAAATTTGAAAATGACTTTTCCTGAAAGAAAACCATGGCATTGAATTAAAAAGTAATAATATCTCCACAACAATAAACTATTGATCCAAACTCTTTTCAAACTAATGATAGCTCATTAGATTCTACATGATGTACATAGTTTCCACTCTAGAAGTAATTAATTATTATGTGTTATTCTTAAAGACTTTTACAATCTACAAGTAGCTGAAATTGTTAAACATAAATTATCATCAAGCAGTTTTTATTATGTACCGGCAAAATGTACTCATGAAGAATATATTGAATTTATTTAAAAATTTACCATTAACTCAAGAATCTTGAAGTCTTTGATATTAATGAAAATGTTGATATATCAAAAGATTTACAAGCGAAAAAAAGACTTTCGTTTAATTCAATTCTCGTAACAATGGATTCAACAACAACCAGAGAAGATGATAATACAAATAAAGAAATAAAATGATATTGCTAATGATATACTTTCAAAAGTAAATAATTAATTATATTTGTGATAAAAATATTACTTTTGTTTTTTATTATTTAGTTACCAAATTTTGAAAAAAAATACAATATCAATCGATTTGGTAACCTTTGAATTTCAGATATAAAACTATTTTCTTTCTTATGTATTGATTGATTTTTATTTTTTGTTCAGGTTTTGAAAGTCACTAAAAGTGAAACAGCGCCAAATGACAGTGCATATATCAGTGGTCTCTTCCTTGATGATGCACGATGGAATCAAAATACATAATTTTATATAATCCTAAACAGATACAAAAAAAAAAGTTAATAATAGGTACGATGAGTGGTCGAAACTTAAAGATATATTTTTTTTCTGTTCTTTTCGAATAATTGTTCATTTTTCTGTTGATCGATGAAAACTTTAGCATTCAGTTTTCAAATAGATTTTCATTGTTATTCCATTATTCCATGGGAGGATATTTTGTTTTATTAGATGATTTTATGTAGTTTCATGATTTAAACAAAATTATTCATCAATTCCAACTAAAACCATAACAGAAATATGTGTGTGCATTTATGGTGAAAAAGTAATTATAATAGAGTCTTAGTTTTTTTAAATTAAAAGAGAGCAGTTAATGAGATTTGTCATTGTTCTAGTTTCACTATTTTGTTCATTATTTTTTTTTAATATTCACATTAATTATAATATAATTTGCGTTAAACAATAAACCTTCTATTTATACAACGAAATCTATAACGAATAGAATCGTCTTCATCAAATATTGACAATAAGAAAAACGTATACATCAGTAAATTTTGTTTTTTGAAAAAAATTATTCAAAATTATTTTTAAAGAAAACTGAGAAAAAAAAGTTGAAGTTATATATATATTTCATGAGGACATGTGGATTTATCTAAGATTAAAACGTCATGTTTAGTTTATCTGATCGATAAAAACTTCTTAATCGTAAATACATATGTGCGAATCTTCTATTCTGAAAAAATATTCGTTAGGTATCGAAAGGTCAGAAAGAATAGGATACAGAAAACGAAAACTTTTTGAAAATTTGTAAAAACTTCGAGTGCTCACAATATCGACTACTCGAAGTCCTGCTAATTTGACTTATCGAAATTCATCGATGATGGGTACGTCAAGGACATCGAATTTCTGGATCGACCCTTCGAAGTGTTACTTTCAGATAGGTCAACTGGTCCGTGATGGGTAAACAATTTTCAATTTTATCAATCTATCGGAAGGTTCAACTCGACATATCGAAATACTCATCGAGTAATAGTTTGAGATTCTTTATTTATTATTATTTTTTCTTTTATCTAAAGATTTACTTAATGAATAATTTCCAAAAATTCTGTACTAATTATTTGGATAAAACCAATTAAAACAAATGAATTAAATACCGATGGAACATATGAATGTTCAATATATAAAACAATTGAACGACGTGACGTACTTTCAACAACGAATCATTCAACAAATTTTGTTATGCCTGTTTATTTATCAATAAATCAATTAAAATAACGTTAAATAAAACATGGTGTTGCATTACTTTGCCAATTTCATGATTAAGAGAAAAAAACACCTAAACTAAATTCACTTTTTTTTTAGCCTTATATACATTAATATCAATTTTCTCTATCTCAATCTCTTTCAAAGAAAAGGAAGAATACATTGTATTTTGTTACTATTATCATAGAATTAATCAAACAGTAATAAAAGACAAAACGAAGAATTAATAATGATTTTAGTGTTCGTCGTTTTTGATTTAATTGCTTCTAAAGTTGGTTGTCGTTTTGATTGAAAACGATTTTGTACTTGTCGTAATTCAATTTCGATTATTTCATCAAGTAATACTAAATATTGTTCGATTTGTTTCAGCAGAAAATTGTTCAATTGCCTAAAGCGAAATAAAACAAACAAATAGATATAAATTTTAATATTGAATAAATAATCCATACTTGTTGAAAATTATCACCATTTTTATTACACATGCGTACTTTTTGAACGATTGATTTCATAAATTCTTCTTTATTTTTATCAGCTGTTGTTCGTTGTGATGTTAAATTTGAATTTGAAAATGGAAATTTTATATTAGATGGTGATGTTTATTCGTAATCTAATAAACTAATTCAATGGAGAATATATGGGATCTTGAATTTCATACGAACGATACTGTTAAAATTAGTGTCCATCAAGTCCTAATTTCAGGATTTTCATGGGAATCTAGACTTACAGTCTCAATAAAGTCTGTAGGATTCAGAGTTAGAGTGGACTCGATGATTTCCATGTTGATATTGATAATGATGATAATCACATATAGGTAATAGAGTACGGCATACTTTTATTTCTATTTTGTTAAATAAATTAAATTTATTCTATGTATCGAATGTTGCCTCACATCCGAATCCTTCTAGGATCGACTTGATGGATTCTAGTCGAGACTAGTTTTAGAGCTTTGGCCATCCAAATCAGCAATTTCAAGAGAAGATAAAACGATTAAATCTATATTATGAGAACAGTAATAGAAACACTTAACGAATATCATAAACTGTAAATTATCGATTAGAACAAATTTCTCGAAAGCAAAAATATAAATGAAAAGTTTAAAATTTTATTTTTCCTGAATCTACCTTAAATGTATCTTGTTGACTATTGGCGTCATTTTCTGTTTCAGTTTTATTTTGATTAATAATCATTTGATATGATGATTCTAATGATAATTCACTCATTGTATAACAACCACATAATTGAAATGTATCTGTTTCTGTATATCTTGTCGATTAGTATTGTAGATTTATTACGTTCTTGAATCTCTTGAACTTTATCAATCATTTGTCGTAAAACATTGATATCTGTAGCATTACGAATCAATTGATGCTAATAGAAAACGAAAAAAAAAAAA